TGCTTAAATAGCCCAACTAAAATGTAGAGACGATCAGATTGGCAGGTAATTTGCCTAATTATCTCTAGATTATATGTATTTCAATATTAGTATTTATTCGTTCCAACAACTATTTATTTCTATTCCATGCGGGGAGGCGGCACAGCATTTGGTGCTGGGGATACTGCTTCAGATAGCCTAGTTGTGGTCCTGCTTACATGACCGTTACAATCTAGTGTTGAATGCAGACTATTAAATAGTCTATTACAACAGAGGGTAATAAGTACCTGGACAGAGGAATTTGATTCTTCTCTGAACACCTGGAAACAACAAATGCTTAAACAATTGTTAACACAATGACTACAAGTTACATTGTTATAATTACATTGATGGATACCATTTCACTTCTGCTATAATACATAAAGAATTTCTACTAAGAAGTTGGCCCTTTATAATTAAGAATGCAGCAGTATTTGTGGGGCCTGCTGCCAAATCCACAGCTGTGCAATGACCATTTCCCAATTCTTTCCCCAAGTAAGGCAGTCTCACTGGGGACAATTTTGCCTCCAGCGGACATTTGGTAATGTATGGAGACATTTTTGGTTGTCACAACAGGGGTGAGGTACTACTGGCGTCTAAATGAGGCTAGGGATGCTGCTAAACATCCTACAATTCTACAGGGAAGTCTCCCATAACGAAGAATTATCAGCCAAAAAAGTCTAGGCTGAGAAACCCTGTACTTGAGTGACCAACTCATCCTGGCTTGTTTAGGAATTCTTGTTTCAGCACTGAAAGTCCTGCATCCCCAGAAAACCCTCAGTCCCAGAAAAATGTGAAGGTTGATCAGCCTACTTCCTACCTACTAATATTAGAACAATGACTGTCTTCAACTAGTTGTTCCTTTCAGTATGAACATTCCTTCTCCCTATTATAATGTAATACAATCATTATCAGAGTGAACATGCTTTGAGCACATATTCTTATCCAGCATTATGTCAAGTATGTTACCTACATTATCTCTTTTAATGCTTTTAACAACTGCATGAGATTACCATTATTACTTCCACTTTACAATTGAGGAAAAGTAGGCTTATAGGTTTCAACCTCACATAGCTAGTAATAGTAGAATTAGGATTCTAAAATGAGGTTATCTAACCCCTGAGTATCGCAATGGTTAAGGAGTTTGGCTGCTGTCATGGGTTGAATTATATCCCCCCAAAACTGTGTGTATCAATTTGGCTGGGCCATGTTTCCCTGTATTGTGTGGTTGTACTCCATTTTGTGATTGTAATTTTATGTTAAAGAGGGTTAGGGTGGGATTGTATAACACCCTTACCAAGGTCACTTCCCTGATCTAATGTAAAGGGAGTTTCCCTAGGGTGTGGCCTGCACCACCTTTTATCTTACAAGAGATAAAAGGAAAGTGACGCAAGCAGAGAATTACCAACGTCATACCACCAAGAAAGCAGTACTGGGAGCAGAGCGTGTCCTTTGGACCTTAGGTTCCTGTGCTGCCATGTTCCCATACCAAGGGAAGACTGATGCATCACAAGAACTTTCCTCCAGAGTCAACAGAGAGAGAAAGCCTTCTCCTGGAGCTGATGCTCTAAATTTGGGCTTGTAGCCTACTGGACTGTGAGAGAATAAACTTCTCTTTGTTGAATCCATCCACTTGTGGCATTTCTGTTACAGCAGCACTAGGTGACTAAGACAGCTGCTAACCAAACAGTCAGCAGTTCGAATCCACCAGCCACTCCTTGGAAACCCTATGGGGCATTTCTACTGTGTCCTATAGGCTCACTATGAGTCGAAACTGGCAAACTGGCTCGATGGCAACGCGAACCCCTGAGTATAGTGAGCATACTCCTGCTTTGCAAGATCGAAATTTTTTTGTCTACACTGTGCCAATTTCATTGCACAGCTTATTTATTTTTTTAATGGTGATTGTCTGAATTACAAACAAACAAAAATTATATTTGACACTACTATAGCTTTCATTTTCTGAGGTATTGTTTGTTACAACTGTGTATCAGATTTGAGCTGGTATAAAGAGTATCATTTTCTTTCAAAAAGTATAGAATTTGAAACCAAATTCTGGGTGAATCACTTAATTTCTCTGAGCCCCATGGGGGTGATGTGTAAATTTAAATGAGGTAACCTTTCCAAAGTTCCTTGTATAGTGCCTGGTTATGTCATAGGAATTCCATAAGTCATAGGAATTCCGTAAGTGGGAGCTATAATGATCAAGGTGAGGATATAGTTTAATTAAAATGGCATGGATATTTCCTACTAATGATATTTTCACTAGAAGGAAAAGAGATAAACAATTTGAATATTATAACATTTATAGCCTGGCATAATGAAAAGGCATTTGGAGTCAGAAAGGATTGCTAGAAATCCAGTTTAGTTACTTAGATGCCCTTTAAAAATGTTTTATTTCTTGTAAAATGAGGAAAAGAATATTCTTAAGTGAATGTTATAAAGATTAAAATGACATAGAATACACATCCCACACACCTTATTTCTTTAAAAAAGGAATAAAATAGCCCTTTCTTAACACAATTTTTCCAAAAAAATCAGAGTAGGATGAAAATGAACTGCTCCATTGCAAATAGTGCTTTGAGTGACAAACATTCACTGATGTACATGAAATAGCCATTTTGCCTGCAGTCAGCAGTCAGATAGCCAATTAAACAGGTGCAGTTCTATTTTCTGTTATTTGTATGAGGGAAGGCACGGCTCCTAGGATAAAGACACATTCAGAACTGCAATATAATTAAAATGACTCTAATTATAATATACTGAAGGTAACCACTAAACCAACAAGTGTGGGTAAAGTTCGTTTTTGTTTCTGTTTACAGTAACAATATGCCTAATTTAGGGAAAAAAACAACAACCCAGAAGTCTAATTCTCTGATGAAAATGACAGTTGTGAGGAAGGGGTACAAAAGAAAGGGTGTGATTGTGGAAGAATTACCATCACCAAGTAGGGTAATTTCCTTGGGAGATATAAGATTAAACTCTCCTTTGTTGAACAAGATTGTTCTGCACTTGTAAGTGAACAACAAATGCGCCAAGTGTATGTTAAAAAAGCGAAGAAGCACAGCCATCAGAAGTCAATTCAAAGAGAACAGAATATCCATTGTTGAAGGCTCATAGAAGGAAGGCCAGCCAGGAGCTAAACTGAAAATGTATTCCTTTGTGTTTGTGAAGATTTACCCATACAATCCTTCACTTTTTCTCTCATATATTTCCTGTCCGTTGGCTGGTTGCATTTCAAGGCAATACGACCACTCCCTCCTCTATTGTTTTCATACTGGTTATTGAGAGAATTAATTATGGCCCCACCATATCACACAGGTGTATTTGAGGAATGAGAAAGTAGTATTGAAAACTAAATTTCTAATGCCACCAAAGTTTATCCAGTTTAAAGGACTCCAGGTGACACAACTTGTTCTCAGCTACAATAATTGTTGAGGAGGATAACTGTGGATACAGGGGTCGTTTGGATTTTATAGAGGGAGGACATATGAATACTGTAAAACTATAAACAGAAAGTCTTATAAAAGTCCCACAGGCTGAGAAAGATTCAAGTTTTGTGGTTCTTGACGTTTATATAATTTTGGGGACCTTTTAAACAAAATTAAGGAGTTTCTTGATGGTGTAAAGGGTTAAGTAAGGCTACTAACTGAAAAGTTGGTGGTTGGAAGCTACCCAGAGGTGCCTCAGAAGAAATGCCTGGTCATTTGCTTTTGAAAGGTCACAGCTATGAAAATACTGTGGAGCAGAGTTCTGCTCTGACACACCAGGTCGCCATGAATCGAAACCAACTTCATGGCAACTGGTTTGGTTTTTGGTTTTCAAAATAAGTACAAAAATGTATATTTAGAAGGAGAAAATAAAACACAATAAGTTACTGAAGCTTTTGGAGATTCCCATTCCATTGCCGTCGAGTCGATTCCGACTCATAGCGACCCTATCGGACAGGGTAGAACCCCCGCGTAGAGTTTCCAAGGAGCACCTGGTGGATTCGAACTGCCAACCTCTTAGCACTTAACCACTACACCAGCAGGGGAAATTCAGGTCCTAGAAATCTCGAATTTGTTTAGGCAATTGCCAGAAATGCTAATTCATAAGCGGTTGCTGATTTCAGCCTCAGCTCCCACTCCCCACTCAGAACACAAGTCAACTCCCAGCAACTCCCAGCACACACAGAGACTCTTCCTTACAAATGAGAGGCTTGGGCATTAGGCTTCATTAGCATCACGGTAAATATTCCTCTGCCCACAGGAACTTCCCCTTGTCACTAGTTTTGTCTATCTGAGAAACCTAAGATTGCCATGAAACTTAAATAACAAACCTTCCATCCGATGTTTGTCGTTTCGTTGTAAGAATCAAAAACCTCACGCACCTATCACCTACCTAGACCTTGGCATCGCAGTTTGTATCAACGTTGGGTTTTATAGGTGCCAGACTGGTGTTCAGACCGGCCTTAGGGATACACACTACGTTGCGCGCCCAGAGAAGGAGCCCGCAGGGACCTCACTCCGCGTGCGGCTGAGGAGGCTGCGCGCGCGAGGGCGAGCCCAGGCCGCGCCTCCCGCTGATTGGCCCGGCCGGCCCCTAGGGGCGGGCTCTCCCCCGAGCTCGCCTGTCGGGGGTGGCTATATTGGCACGGTTCCTGCTGGGTCGGGTAGCTTTCTCGCGCTGAGCTGGACCCAAGGAGAGGTTCCTGAGGGAGGTGCGGGCGCAGGAAAGGGAGCGAGGCTACCGAGAGCGAGCAAGGGGCTGCGGGGCTGCAGTGCGATGAAGCAGCGGCTCAGGGAGCGGAGACTGGCGGTGTGGCGAGACGGGCCGGCCTGGGGCCGGGGCTGCTGCTCCAGAGGCTGCTGAGGCGCCTCGGCAGCCGGCGCGGAGACCCGCGGGCAAGAAGGAGGAGAGGCTTTGGAGCGGGGCGGGGGCGGGGGGAAGCCGGCTGGTAGGCAGGCGACTCCGGTTGGCCTCCCTGGTCCTGTGGAACCATGCGGGTGGCCAAGTGGCTGATGGGGCTGCTCTACCAGCTCTCGCTCTTCATCACCAGATCTTGGGAAGTTCACTTTCACCCAAGGCAAGGTAAGGTCACCGCGGGGCGCCTTGAGCGGCGAGATAGAGGCTCGGGGCCGGAGCGGAGATACAGAAGGAGGGCGTGAACGGCTCAGTCCGTTGGGGTACCCTGTTGCTGCTTTCGAGACACCAGGATCACAGCTCAAAGCATCCCGAGAGGTCACGGCTGCGCTGGGTTTCGAGGAATCCCGCATGCCGAGGACGCATTTCATTACCCCGGGCCACGCCAGCGGGGACGCGTGGGGCAGCATGGCGCGTGCACCCGAGGGCACGAATTGGCGGAGGCAGGGATGCGAAGAGGGGCTAGGGAAAGAGGTGGGCTTGTCAGGATTGTGAGTGGCCGGGTCTTTGCAAGGGGGGGAGCAAGATCGGGGGTGTGGGAAAGCAGAACACGCACAGGTCGCACATGTGTATGTGTCTCTGTGTGTGTTTGTATGTATGTCCGTGCGCGCGCGTGCCAATCAGCATGTGTACATTTGTCGTGCCCTTGGGTACCGAAACCTGGGTTGGCAAGGACGTTTGGTTGAGGAAGTATGGCACTGGGGAATTGGGAACGCGTAGGGGCTAAATGGCCATATCACTGTGATTGCAGAAGCCCTGGTGAGGTCACTGGCCTCCTACGAAGTGGTGACCCCCGCTCGGGTCAATGAGTTCGGGGAAGTGTTCCCTCAGAACCACCACTTCAGCCGGAGGAAGCGCAGCCCCGAGGCGCTAGAGCTCACGCCGTTCAGGACCCATTACCGCATCAACGCCTATGGGCAACTCTTCCAGTTGAACCTGAGCGCCGACGCGGCTTTCCTGGCCGGGGGCTACACGGTGGTGCACTTGGGAGCCCCCGCGCGCGGGGCAGAGGAACGCAGCGCGGCGCCCCCAGACCTGCGCCACTGCTTCTACCGCGGCCAGGTTAACGCGAGGGAGGATCACAGGGCCGTCTTCAGCCTCTGTGGAGGCCTGGTAAGCGTGCTTGGCTCCCTTGGCGACCCAGTCAGGGGCTGCGTTCAGGCTGTGGATAGCGGGTTTCTTTGGTTTGTTGGTGACACAGGAGTTCATGGTGGACCACCAGAGGGATTGACACCCAGGCAATTTTTCCTGCAGCGAGGAGAGGGTTTTGGCAGGCTCTAAAGTGAGACTCATCAGCATGCCTTTGCCTGCTTGGCAAAATCTACCTCTCCGTGCAAAGCTGAGAGAGAATCTTTCTTGAAAGTGTCAGATGCTGGACTCCTGAGTCAGGGACGGCCTTTGGGGCCTCTGCTACAAGTGGGGTATAGTTTCCAACAGGAAGGCAGGGTACTTCACACTGACAGACCCATTCGTGACCACCTATTGAAGGCAGACCCCTTTTCAGTTCTGCACCTGAATTTACTTAAATTTGTTCCTTGAATTTAGAATGAGAGAAGGAAAATAGAACTAATATGAATAAAGTGAAAAAATAATGTGAAAAGGGCATTCCATTGGAAGGGAAGGTTTGATAAACAAAAGAAATGTTTATTTTGTTATAGTGTAGAGATGACCATTAATCTGTGAGTTAGGGAAGAGGTTGAACCTGCCTATTTAAAATGCATTGCGCTTAAAAATGTAGAGTCTATCTACAAAGACCTGGGTGCCAGGAAATGAGAAATAATCATTAGAGTAACAAGAGTAAGAGAGGGAGATTTTGTAAAAAGTTCACTGAGGAGAGAAGAAAGGAAGTAAAATCTCAGGCTCTATGTGTTTCATTTGTTTCTGTTTCTCTAAAACAGTTTTAAGCGTTTCTTTGCCATGAACTTCAGAATTCTGGTGAAGCCCAGGACCTCTTCCAAGCATAATAATTTTAAATGTGTAAAATAACTGTAAAGGAAACCAATTAAATAAAATCAGTAATCGAAATATTACAAAACCCAATTTGTGATATAATATTATCACAAATTAATTCATTAAATAATAATTAATACATAAATAGTAAGATCTACTGACTAGTCAATTTACTACCATACTTTTATAGGGTGATTATAGGGAGGATGAATATAAACAATCCAGATAGCTAAATCAACTCTAATGTGACATAAAAATGTCCTCTTATTGATAACAAAGTCACAATGTCTCACAAAGTCTATAGTTTCGCCTACGTTCATAATTGAAAGAAATGCTGAATATCAGTCAGAGGTTAGTGAAAATAAAGATGTAACTTTTCCCCATCCACATTCATGGAACCCCAGATTAGGAACATTGGTTTTAAACAAACAGATATTAGCTTGCTTAATCAGAAACTCCTCATAAATATATGTCCAATAAGAAACGAGGACTAAGAATTGGTTACAGGTTTCCAGGATTCTTCCCAAGTACTCTAAATTTTGTTGAGCAAATAATAATAATAAAAAAATACCTTTAAGATAGATGTTCAAAGATGTTTTCAAAACATTATCACTGTTCTTTGATTAAGTAAAAAGTTGATTAACAGTTCTCTCCAGGCCAAATGTAATACTTCCTCTTAGGTTAATTGATTTAAGAAGTCCTCCTGGGTGTGAGTATTGGTCATTACTAAGTAAATTTGGAAACTCTCTTTGCTCTTTTTCATGCTATTATCTTTAGCTGTATTTACATGGAATGCCTGAACAATTTCCTTCCTTTCTGCTGTGGATAAATGTAAAATGCTTGCAACATCAGAATGGCAGAAGCACACTCTAATATTTACACAGTCACCTATACATCAAAGGAAAGAAAAAATTCTCTTTTCTAGACCCTTTTAAGATAATGTTTAGTTTGTCTAGCAAATCCCAGATTTACTACCACAAATTTGTCATGGTTGATATGTATTCTTGATTTAGTATTTTATGGCATGAAAAAACATTCCAGATGGGAAGCATTATTAAGAGTGATATTTCTGCTCATGTTGATTCATAATGTTGTCATTGTTCAAATTCAGTACTCCGTTTTGAATTCAGAAAACAGAAGTTGTTTTTTGAATCATAATAGGAGTTCATCTTTTTCTGTCATTCTGTCAACTTCAATACAGTTGGATAAGTCATCATCATGTATTGTCAATCTGATTTATTTACGCACTTTGGTTTTGATAGACTTATTGATATCAGAATTTGTTAATTCGGTTTAAGAATTAAAAATTAATTTTCATACCTGTGTAACACAGTTTTGTCTTACTTATTCTCATTGTTGAGGACATCAATCATTGTAGAAATGGAAATTTTCCAGCAATATTGCAAGTAACTAAAAGAGCTAAATTTTTTTCTGTAGTGCAGTCGTGACCAATTGTAAGTCAGAATTACTAATGAGATTAGTGACACTTCTTTGATTTTTATTTTTGATGTTAGCTCAAAAACAGATATTAGCTGTATGTTTATGATTGCATATTTTATTTCTATTCCTGACTCTAACATTAACTTTCTTTAGATTAATAGTTTTATCAAATAGCAAAACCTCTGGTAGGTTTTAGAATCTGTTTGTCATTAACTCAGATTCTTCTTTTTATTCTCAGATCAGTCTTTAGTCTTTAAACCCAGATAAAATTGTGGTAGCCGGAGCCTGGGCCATCTGAGTTGTTTGCAGATCTACCCTGACTCGAAGTTAATAATGCCAGCCTTCTGGCCCTGCTCCTACCTGCCTCCAGACTTACCTTTATAACCTTGTGTATGTGACGGTGATGATCTGACTTTGACATCTGTCAGTACATTAAACACCAAGGTTGATGTTTACTGAAGGTTATTTGGAGTCAGTGTTATGAGAGAAGTTTCCTTCTATTTCTAGTAATTTTTTTTGTTCTTTTTTTAAGACTTTTTTTTTTTTCGTTTTCCCAGCTTAGTTATTCTAGTAGTTTTTGTTTTGTTTTAGTTTTGCTTTTAGTCATGAATGAATGTTATTATTTTATCAAATGCTTTTCCTGAATATATTGAAAGAATCTTATGATTTCCTTCTTTTCTCCTCTATGTGTACTGTCTTATGCATTGCTGGATTCAAGCACACATTGACCATTGATAAAATTTGACCATATAAAAGGTCATAAATTGTTCTAAGTTCTTTGTAATATTGGAAGAGGGTGAGGAAATTGTACTTTCCCCTGTCTCTTCTAGTCTCTGATGATGTTCTTTGTGCTATAGTCTCTCAACGTTTACCAAACCAGCAACTGAATTCTGAGTCTGGGAACTTTTCGCTTTTCTTCTCTTTGCTCAGTCAGGGCTCATTGGTCCAACTTGTTGACTCATCCCCTCTTGGGATCTCACTTGTGCTGCATATCCTTGAATTCTTGCTGTAACACCGTTTGATTTCTTATCTAGCTGATGGCACTGTATAGACATCAGATATAGGGTCACTTTGCTCCTGCTGCAGCACCCCTCCCCCCCATAAATGGTATGGTGATACTATTGGTAATCTTCCAGACACCTCTAAGGGCTTGAAACTTACTATGACATTTGGGAGCCAAGGAGGATTCTGTTCCTCTTTGCCAAACCCTGCCACACCTCTAATTTTGGAGTATAGGGGGAAACCTTTTAGAGAATCCCTTCCAAGTGTCCCACATAGTCAGCAGACTGAAGCACCTCTCTTGACAGTCCCCTTACACAATCTAATATGCTTTCTCTCTCCAGGATTTTCACCCCAGTAGAGAAGTTAGTGCACACATGTCTTACCATCTGCTTGCCTTGCCTGCATCTCCTTTTCTCCCCAGAATCCACTGAGTTCCCCTTTCACATCTCATTTCCCACTTGAGGTAGCATTTACCCTTTACTTCTTTGGTAGATGCTGGGGAATGTGACTTTTAAAGGAAGGGAATGAAAAACAAATCAGATTAATATTTTTTGAAATACTGTATTATCCCTGTGCAACCATTTGTTAAACTGACACCCCAACAGATTTATGAATTTCATTTAGATTAACCCAAAGCTTGTGAACCAATATTTTCTTTTAATTTCTAATGTTAGTTTTTTCTACTTTTAGAAGTCTTGGTCTTTACATGTTTTTCTCCTTCACTAAATCACTGACCCATGACTAGTATTGTTTAGTTTTCTTCCTAAGTGTTTTGGGCCCAAGAACCAGAAAGGGCTAAGAGTGTTGCCAGAAATTTTCTTGGTTTAACATGTTTATAAATCTGGCTTTTCTAATCTTTCTTTCTCTATAGTTTTTCTTTCCGATAGGTATGAGTATTTACATATCACACAATTCAAACTTTTCTCAATAGAGATTTAGTTATACATTTCCAAAATCTATAGTAGATGTGAAAATGGAGCTGAATCAGGAAATTAACTGTAAATAATGGCTAATTGAACTCTTTATTTTTAATGCATTGATGAACTGCCACGGAATTTATAGTTATCAGCCGTGATATCCCTATGTTCAAGTCTAAACTTCTTTTTTGTATTCATATTATCTTCTCATAACATTGATAAACCCCACGTGTCTGTCAGTTTGTTACTTTGGGGGCTTGTGTGTTGTTGCGATGCTGGAAGCTATGCTACGGGTATTCAAATACCAGCAGGGTCACCCATTGCAGACAGGTTTCAGCTGAGCTTCCACACTAAGACATACTAGGAAGAAGGCACCTAACAACCACCTAACAACAATGTTGATAAATACTCTTGCCAAAGGAGAGGTCAGTATATAATAAGTTGGAAAATCATTGGCGTATAGTTGTCAGGATGGTGTGTATAAATTTTACGTAGGCTATTCCTGACAACCCACTGTACCTCTGGTAACCCTCTTCTCATGTAACCAGGTGGATTCCCTTCTTCCAGAGACTCTCAGGGACTAACCCAGCCTCCTAGACAGTTAACTTGGTGAGATTTGAGGCAATGCAGTCTTTTTGGTTGAAGGAAACAGTTTCCAGATGTCATAAAACCAGACATTGCATCTGGTTTATACAGTATTTTCATGGAGTAGCTTGCAGTGGCTGTGTGTACTTTTTTTGAAGTTTCTCATGTGAACCATTCTGCAGCGTGTCAGGCACTAATGCTCTCTGGTGACTGATTATT